AACTTATCAAATGTTCTATACAACAATACATATTTACATTCAATTATTGTGCCTTTCACATCGTGAGGACATCACAAGATGCTTAACAATACTGGCTTGGCACCCGAGCTGGTGGATGGAGTTGGTGGGGCGGGGTGGAAATTGATTGAAAGTACGGTCAAAGAGGTAGGTCATGAGACGGACCTTGAAAAAGGTGAGGGAGGGAGTGAGACATCAGTATGGTGTTCCAGAGATTGAGGTTATTGCAACAGTACAATACAAAATTACAGTTGTATAGCACTTTTCACATTAGGAGGATGTTCCAAGGTGCTGGACAGTCAATGATTTGCACCCAAACAGAGGGGTGTGGGGGTTTGGATCAGGGAGGGTGGAGGGCAGGGACGGTAGGAGGGTGGCCGAAGACACGCTCGAAGAGGAGGGTCTTGAGATGTGCCTTGAAGGAGGCAAAGAAGGGAGTGAGGCAAAGGGAATGTGGGATGGAGTTCCAAAGGGTGGGGGCAGAAAGGCTGAAGGCCTGACTACCGATGGTGGGGTGGGCCGGGCGGGGGATGGGCCACAGTCGAGGGAGCATACTGGTTGGTAGGGGGTTAGCAGGTCACCGAGCTATAATATAATAATAATCCTTGCATTTGATATAGCATTTTTCACTTCTTCTAGACGTCTCAAAGCGCTTCACAGAATGTAAAGTGAATTGACTGTATATTTTGTGGGTGAAACGTGGCAGCCAATTGCGCACAGCAGTGTTCCACAAACAGTGGTGGATTGAAGTGACCAAATTATTCATGTTTGTTTTTTTTCCCTGCAAAATACAGTCATTACATTTTATGGTACAGGCGCTCTGAGATGTCAACCCAATACGAATGGCATTGTATCAAATGCAAAGATTGTTATTATGATTATTTATTATGAAAATGAGCTCCAACTGATGAATCAAAATAATTGTTTCGGTAAACGACACAGCTCGACATTCACGCCAAGCACGAGGCACAATTCTATTGAGACACAAACTATCTAAATGGCAGGTTCTCGCAAAGCAGAATTGTGTGAATTATGCATCAATTAAGGAACATATAAAGTCTCTAAGGAAATGGAAGGATACATGCAGATGGATCTCTGGTCTCCTGAGGTTGTAATTTAAACAGTTACATCATTTATCACAGGCACCGAGCCACGATTCCACTTCTGAAATGTTAATAGAATTTGTTAGTGAGAGATTTAGAATTAAACCTTAAAGTGGTGCTGTTGGACTCTAGCAGCGGATTTCTTGTTTGTTTTTGCTGAGGTGATGGAATGTTATTTCCTTATCACCAAACATGTTTGTTGCCTGAAGATATTTGCAGAGTTAAGGTGTCCATTTCACCCGACGCTTAAATGTATTATAACGTGTCCATGGCAGCTTTCACGGCAAGCTTCACTAGTTTTAGTACATCCACTGAATGCTGAACAAGATTGCAGTGCCGGGCAATTTAGCTGCAGGCTCTGTGTCAGTAACTTATACATTGCTGTCCATATTCAGATGGATAACCTACATTCTTTATTCCCTTCGTGTCAACTTGGCTGAAATCCTGACCTTTCAAGGTGCTATTGAAAAGTTAATTTGGAACAAGCCTAGAGGGTGAGGTATTATACAGATGAGTATCTAAACAGGTATGTGGAGTGTGGAGAATACACACCCAGGAGAGCATGGAAATCCGTTAAAATTATATTGCAATCAAGCGTTTGCTTTAGTTCCATATTTATTTCATTCTTAAATTCTGTACCTATTGAGGGAAAAGTTCAAAGCAGGTGTTTTACATGTAACAGAATCAGTCTTGTGAGTAACATTCACTGCACTGGTGAGGAATGCAGTTTTTCACTTCTCGTAGCTCAGAGAGCAGTTCAGACATTCATTGGGGTGAAAATTGCAATGTGCGACATAATAAATATCAGCGCTTGAGACATTTATAATAATAATAATCCTTGCATTTAAATAATAATATCAATAATAATCTATTTGTGGCAGCCAAAATGCAAGGATTAATATTATTATTGATATAACACCTTACCACATCTTAGAGACGTGTCAGAACAATTCACAGAACATACTGTAAAGTGAATTGATTGTGCATTTTGTGGGCGCATTTGATTAAAAAAAGGCTGCTCTGTGGAGGACATGGGTTTATGGCAGCAAAAGGCATTTTCAGGACAAGTACTTTTCCATCCAGGGAACAGCCTTACGGCTTCCGTCGTGCCTTTTACCCAACTGGTCTCTATGTCTGTGATCAATGGCACAGGAAGTCCCGACTCTGTTACCAGACCTCTCATTTCTGCTGAACTCTCTTCTGCTCGACAGAGTTTACATGTCCCTTCAAGCACATCACGTGATTCTGGGAACAAAAGAGCCTAAGAACATAGGAGCAGCTTGTGTGGCTCATGCCATTATTCAAGTCGTGATTTAATGCCTGACTGACTATCTTTTTCTTTTTAACATATGATTTCCTAGTCCAAGCCCATGGCCCTCTGTTCTGTGTCTGAATCAGGAATTGAATTCTCCAACAAAGTCACTGTTCACTGCACCAGGTGGCACTCTACTCTACATGCTAACTGTAAAGGTGGAAGAAGTTTTAAGTTAGAATGCAGCTTTTTAAACTGGTTCATGATATCTATTCCCAGTTTTGGTTAACACTTTATTTATCCGCTTTATTGATTTCCTTTTACTATTCTGAATCTTCAATTATTCGCCACCATTCAAACCTTTTATTTCCAGTGACAAAAGATTTGGCTTTGTTCCCTTTTCACATCAATGTTATTAGACCTTCGAGGATGGGGTGGGGGGTAAGCAGAGTTTTCTTGGAGCTGAACTGGCTCCAAGGTGACATGCTTGGCAACGGAATGTCGGAATCAAGCCAGCCCTCGGTGGCGGTCTCGGTAGGCCAGTTTCTGAGCAAGACGGATTCGCAGTACTCCAGGGCACTGCTGATGACAACACAGCCAGCCTGGCTCATCAAAAGGACTTTGAACGGCAGACCAGTCGCTGTGGGTAGGTCATCCCACTCAGCTCCTGTTAACCCTGCAAACCAAGGGCCTAATGGGTAGAGTGGTCCTAGCTGGACAAGCAATGGGAAGCTTTCCAGGCAGCAATATCAATGGCAAGCTATGCGGTTTTAGCTGGTTAGACTCCAGCAGTACCCCAATGCACACTCTGGGGTGCCCAAGCCTTGGCTCTTGCCAGTAGTTTCTGGAATTAGGTAAGCTGGAACATCCCTACATTCCAACATTCTGTCTCTAGGATTTCCATGTGTAGGTGGGATGCATGGAAATTTCAGCTTAGTTTGGATATTCTTAAGCATTACAGCACAAATCAAGTACCAGCTGACAATGGTTACATTATTCTTCCCAACAAATATTGGCTGCAGATGTTTCCATTTCCTTGAGCATTGCTTGACCCAGGTCCCCTGAGTAACTCCCATGGAAATCCTTGGGCTCATCATAGGGCACCAATAGCAGCATCATAGTGCTAGTCGTCACATTAGTCTCAGTCCTTAGGTGCCTTCAACCATCTGAATACCACAAACTGCTCCCTCCTTCCCCACTTTCAAAATCTTCCTCTTTGACTGCACTTCCAGTCATCTTCTCCTCCCTTCCCCTCTTCAGCTTCCAACTCCCCCTACGTCTTCCAATTCCACCCCCACCTCTGCTTGGATTGCAGCCAGCAGTGTAAAGCACTGTGTGAGAGGTCCTCCCAATGTAAAAGGCACTGTATAAATGTAAATTGTATTGTAAACACGAAAGGAGGTGATCCAATTACGCTCGGAGAGCTTCCCATGTGGATTTAATGGCATGACCAGAAAACGTGTCGTACAATCTGTGGAGGCCTTCTTGATGAATGCAAACTCTTGGAAAAAATGTAACAACAAACTAAAGATAATAGAAGTCTCCAAAGACTGACGAAGTCCTGTTGAATTTCCTATTAAATCCACTTAAATTTATCTGCATTAGTCATATTAACAATCACACAACTCGTAACACCACTACTCCACTTGTCTCTATTGCATTTGCTGCTACTGCACTTGCTGCTACTGAACTTACCGACTGCCAGATCCAAACTTTGTTTCCCGCGCCTACCTCAAACAGAACACCGCACATGCTCACCCCGACACTCTCTGAGCACTCCCTCTGGGTGTGTAACATCAATGTCATCCTACATGGCAGCGGGTGGGTAGGGGGGGCTGGGGGCTGAGACAGGAAAGAGTGGTGAGCAAGGGGTCGGGGATTGTCTGATCACGTGTAGAGCGAAGGGAACCCGTCAACATGTATTATGATTGGGAACTCCGTCCATTCATGTCATGACTAGAGCACAACCACTTGGGCATACCTGATAGACCTGTCATGTATAAGCCTACAAGTATCTCCCTTTATAACTGAGACAATTAAGAGATAATTACTCTTAACATCCCCCCTACAACTCTTAATTAATTTACACATTTGTATCATCTCCCACTGCAAGAAATAGATTGAAATATACATGAAAATGGTTGTTCCGGAAAATGATGGGTCTGAAAATTTCCATTTTGAAACCTTGCCACTAACCACTTCAGTACTTGTCTATTTGTTATGTGTAAGTCATATAAAATCCCACTTGTACGTAACTTTACATAAGTCATATATGATACGACTTATGCAAGTTTGACATAACTACTTTGCAGAAGTCATATTAAATGTATGGTCCCAATTGCTACAACTTATGTGAGGTTTACTGTACTTCAATCAAATCACCCCTTATACTGCCCTGCTGTAAGAAAGAGAACCTCAGTCTCACCAGCCTCTCACCGTAGCCAAGCCCTTTCACTGTCAATGTGGCGAAACAACTGGGTTCCCAGCTAAGGTCTACCACACCAGCATGGCATGGTTAACAGCAGTTGCCAGGAGGTTTTGTTGTGAGCAAGTGACTTAAATTCCTGCAAGGAAGTCTTTTGCGAGGTCCTTGGGTTGTCTCTTAAAGTGCAAGAAAGATATCCTACCTTCGATATGTTGCTCGATCGGCTCGCGGAGCGTCCTGGAGACTTGTCATTCTGCAAATGAACAGAAGGTATCGTATTATTGGAAATGTCCAAACACCCCTTTGGAGGTTGGTGGGCTCACCTCACAACACTGCCATCACTCAGAGCAGAGGAGCTGCTGAAGTCAATCTGGGTACTTTTACTGCTGTTTCCTTCTGTTGCGATGGCATGAATGTAATCAAGTGAAAAGTAACATCAGCTGACCCACTCGTGCAAACCACTGAAGTCTCAATGGTCAACTTATCTGCACTTTTAAAGGACCACCGTTTTCTGGAGAAGCCAACGCTTTTCTTTTTAAAGTTTACAATTTCAGACACCGAATATATATATATATATATTTTGTATGCAGTATAAGATTTTCCGAAGCTGAGGGGAGGAATTCCAACATCTGGGAAAAACAGCCTTGTGTAGTACTGCAGCAATTAAATCACTTAATTGCTGTTGGCCCCCAGACCAGGAAGGATGCTGATTCCTGCTCAGCACAATGAGAGCTCTGCTTAATTCACCCAAGCCGGCCTCTTCTGTCTGGAAACCAGAACATGGCAGAGATCCAAACACTACTTTTTTTCCGTGCGGAAAATTGGAATTTCTGTTCATGGGTATGAGAATTTATAGAACCATTTCTGCATTGTCTGTGACTGTGAGAAGTCTTGTACTTTTCATTCAAAAGACTTATATTCCAAGATACTAGATATTGTGTTGCAAAGTTGCAGCAATCCAGGGCAGTATAAAACAAGGTTTTTTGCATATCTAATAATAATTAATTACGACTCAAATCTATTTTGCGCTAACACACACCATCTGATTTCCACTCCAGACACACATCATCGGATTCCCACTCAGAACATATATCATCTGATTCCCAATCCGGACACATGTTATCCCATTCCAAATCTGTACACACACAACCTCTCCAGACACAAGCATTGGATTCCTACTTGGGCAAACGTCATTCGATACCCGCTCCTGGACATACTGCCTCCAATTCCCGCTGATAGTCAGTCAATCAGGTGCAAAATCTTAACCATCGTATTGGTTTACCTACTGTGGCTGATGGAGCAACACTCTGATAGTCAATGTCGATGAAAAAGTTCCTGAGGAAAGTGATACTGTTACTGGCCTCCCCTGCCACTCGATAAAGAGCTCTGTGACCGTCACCTTCTTCTTCTCCCTCTTCCTCCCTGCTCAGTTACCATCTGCTATGTTCTGTGATGCTCCAAAATGTGACTCTAGGTGAAGGTGCCACATAATGCAAGTTGCTGTTATAAACCTGCTTTTTCTGCAGGAAATTCCACCTGTGTCAACCTGACTGGTGTCACCTCAGCTCTGAAGTGATGGAATAAATGAAACAATCCTACCATATTGATAGTGCGCTTATTGTTAAAATATCTCTGCGTTTCACACATAATTGTAACCAAATGTAGTGACTGTGTATTTCATAGGCAATCACAGCAGCTAATTTGAACACAGGAATGTCCCACAAACAGAACAAAGTGAATGATTAATATTATTTGGGGCATTGTCAGCCAGGACACAGGAGAAACTTCCTTCTCTTTTTGATCAGTGACTTATGATTTTAAACATCCAGCTGAACAGGCAGATGGGATTTTGGTTAAACGTCTCATCCGAAGGACAGCACCTCTGACAATACAGTATAACACTCTCACAGCACTGCACTGGAGTGTTACCAGAGACTGTGAGCTCACTGTTTACATTGTAAAGTCCTTTTCTGGTGACACGGCACCAGGAATGCTGCTGTTTTCCTGAAGATAATTTTTTCAACTGCATTGGGATCTGTCGGGCCCTTTTGTTTCTTGTTTACAATGGGCAATTCTCTCAAGAGCAGGTGAGCACATTTGTAGTCAGCTTTATCCATGCTCCTAGTTGATTCCTCCTTGTGGTCATAATGAACTTCCCCAGCTCTACACTATGGTGAAGGCTGAGCAAATATTGCTGACTTTGCTTGAATCATTCGACGGTCTCTACATTAGTACTGTACTGGAGGTGTCAGCCTGACTCAGCTGATAACACTCTCATCTCTGAGTCAGAAAGTTGTGGATTCAAGCCCCACACAATGACTTTGAGCTCACGGTGTATGCTGACACTCCCACACAGCTGCATTATCAGTGGTGCTGTTCTTCGGATGAGACTTTAAACCAAGATGCAGGAAGACTTTAAAGATCTCATGACACAATTTAAAAAGAGAAGGGAGTTTCATGGTGTCCTGGCTAACAATTCCCCAGGTAAAATTGATCATTCACTTTATGGCTTTTTGTGAGACATTGCTGTGCGCAAATTTGCTGCTGTGTTTCCCTATAAATACAGTTACTGCACTCTGTGAAGTGTTTTGAAATGTTTTCACATCATAACTTGCTATGTGAAATGCAACGATTATTACTATTGTATTATTATAATTAGCCATCGAAAGTTAATTCTATTGAATGTGCTGAGGTGTAAAATTGGTCCTGCAATGCGAAAATACCTGCTTCCTAAAACCAATCAAGTCTCAGTGTGCTATAAATATATTACACATTGTTCCATTTGAAATATAAATCTCTCCAACCAGATTATAACTGAGAAGCCATCTTTGGCAGAGTCTTCTTTTTTTGTTGGGGTAAGAATATTAATGATAATGATAATAATAATCCTTGCATTTGATATAGTGCTTTTCACATCTTCTAGATTCCTCAAAGCTCTTCATAGAATATACTGTAAAGTGAATTGACTGTATATTTGTGGGCAAAATGCAGCAGCCAGTGTCTCACAAACAGTCGTAGATTGAGTGATTATTTTTTTCTTGAGGGATTATTATCAGGCGTATGGAATAAGGAAACTTGACCAAGGTTTCACGCTGCCAGGAATCGAACCGAAGTCTCTCACTTGCGAGGTGAGTTCTCTTACCGCTGAAATACAGGAATCCATCTATTACACAACTAACTGCCCTTAAAACGGCTCTGGAATAACTCTAATAAGTAAAGCAATAAGACTGGAATCATCAGGATAATACAATACAATTTACATTGATATAATGCCTTTCACCTAAGAAGGATGTTTCAAAGCGCAGTCAAAGTGCTGGATGGGCACCTGAGCTGGGTGTGGGAGTGGGGGGAGTGGGGGGAGGGGAACGGTGACCGAAATCATGGTCAAAGTGGTATGTTTTGTGTAACCCAGAGAGTGGTCCTCTGAGTGGACCTCAAACTGTCAAATCCAATCTGAATCGCATGGTTTTGCTAATCCTCTCAGTTGTTATGTTCTAAATTAATTCAGATTAATCTTATTAAAATACCCAGGAGCATGAAGAGAAGCAATGGTGCTGTGTACACCAAGGGTCACTGGGGCACATTATGCGCTGCTTTGCACATCAGCAAGGACCAATGGCAATCAGGGAATTTTGTAGCGAGCGGATACATGGGAATAATTCCTGAATGAGATTAGAGAAGAAGGAATAAAAGAAACATTGGACACCATCTCTGCTGAATTCAGGTTTCATCTTGAAGTCGTTTTTTTGCAAATTCTTTAGAAAACTGGCTTCAAAATTGAGACTATTTAATAGCAAAAGTTCAAATACAAAATACACCATCACTGCACTTTATAATAAATCCTGTGAAGTGCTTTGGGGTATCCTTTCAACATAAAAGTTGTCATATCCAAATGCAAGGAATATTATGTTTGGGATTAAATTATGCACTGTCTGAAATGGTAAGAAAATAAAGTTAGACCAGGTGAAATTTCTTCCCTTGCATCGTCTATCCGTGCACAATGTTGTCAAATGAATTTTATTCTTAAAGATATCTGTGAAAAAGCAGCTTCCAATTTAAAACGGAAGTTAAAAAGTTTCCTAAATTCTGCCCAATCTTAATTTGGAGATTTTCAGGCCTAAAATGCTCTGCAGGATCTACCCAAGAAAGTGCATCGGATTATTCTAGTATTTGAATGGAAGTTATTTTAGTAAATACTATAGAAAGAAACCTGGTTAAATAATAATATAATAATAATCCTTGCATTTGATATAGCGCTTTTCACGTCGGGAGGACGTCCCAAAGCGCTTCACAGAATAGACTGTAAAGTGAATTGACTGTATATTTGTGGGCGAACGCGGCAGCCAATTGCGCACAGCAATGTCCCACAAACAGTCGTAGATTGAAAATGACCAATTTATTATTGTTTTTGTTTTGGAGGGATTATTATTAGGCTCTGTGTGGAGTAAAGAAACTTGCCCAAGGTTTCGCCCTGACCTGCCTGGAATTGAACTCAGGTCTCTCACTTGCAAAGCGAGTGCTCTAACCACTGAGCTACAGGACTCCACAATTGTAATTAATTGTGTTAAGGAAAAACAATAATAATCATCATCCTTGCATTTGCTATAATGATAATAATAACAATAATAATCCTTTCATTTGAAATAGTGTTTATCACGTCTTCGAGACGTCTCAAAGCCACCAAGATTTCAGTCAGTACACTTTAAACCATGTTGGAGCAGTAAATCTGCTCAGTTATTCAATAGCACACAGGATTCATCAGTTGCTACCAGAAAGCTATTGGAATGCAAACTCACACTCATCTGCTTAGAAACAGGACTCTTTGCTAGCCACTGCTATTTTCAGTAAAAGTTCATTAGATGTACCTTGTCAGACAGCACAGCCAAATTATTTATCGCCACTGCAATGGCACTCAACATTTTACTTTATATTTCTGGGTATTTTTGAAATAAGGTGATAGGTATGTGGTCCGATGCTTGAAGCTAAACAGAAGCTTGCCACATGTGCAGCTAAAGCTTTTTCTACACTTGATAGAATGTTTTTGAAGGTTGTAGGAAGCATAGTTGCACATGTTAACCCCTCCCCGTGGATAGCTTAGTGGTTTTTTAAATAAAATACCAGACATTTTTTTGTATTTGGTATCTGTTGGATTGGTTCGTGTGTGTCTGGCTGTGGTTTGCTCAGGGAAATTGAGATGAACTGCTTGTTTGACAATCACACAGCCTTGGCTCACTCAATCTCTCTCTGGACTGA